AAAAAAAAAAAAAAAAGAAAGAGGAGGGAGAAAGTAAGTTCAGTTCGGCAAGAACTAAAGTCTCAGTGGAGTAATTCTACTCCCAATGATCATCTGTACTCCCGTTCAGAAATATCTATCTAATAAACACTTCCAGAATTTTGAAAAAAAATTGATGTTAAGCTCATCATTCTAAAGCTGATTTTAAATTCGTGAAGGGATGGGAGGCTGAGGCAGGAGAATCACTTGAATCTGGGAGGTGGAGGTTGCAGTGAGCAGAGACTACACCGCTATACTCCGGCCTGAGTGACACAGAGAGACTCCATCTCAATCACTCCATCAGTTTGTGAAAAGATTAAAAAGTAAGGCTGAGGCCAGACATGATGGCTCACACCTGTAATCACAGCACTCACTTTGGAGGTCGATGAAGGTGGATTGCCTGAGGCCAGGAGTTGGAGACCAGCCTGGCCAACATGGCAAAACCCAGTCTCTACTAAAATTAGCTGGGCTAGGTGGTACACGCCTGTAATCCCAGCTACTGGGTAGGCTGAGACTTGAGAATCACTAGAACCCAGGAGGCGGAGATTGCAGTGAGCCAGATCGTGCCACTGCACTTCATCCCAGGTGACAGAGCAAGAAAAAAAACAGCTAAGGCTGTGCCCAGCGGCTCACAAACACTTGTAATCCCAGCATTTTGGGCGTGGGCAACATGGTGAAACCCTGTCTCTACAAAAGAACACAAAAACTAACCAGCCATGGTGGCAAACATCTGTAGTCCCAGTTACTCGGGAGGCTGAGGAAGAACGATCACATCAGCCCAGGAGGTGGAAGCTACAGTGAGCCATGATGGCCCCACTGCACTTCAGTCTGGGTGAAAGGTGAGACACTGTCTCAAAACAAAGTAATGAAATTATTAATTATTGGCCAGGCATTGTGGTTCACACCTATAAGCCCAGCACTTTCAGAGGCCAAGGTGGGTGGATCCCTTGAGCTCAGGAGTTCGAGACCAGCCTGGGCAACATGGCAAAACCCAGTCTGTAACAAAAAGTACAAAAAATTAGCCATGCATGGTGACATGCACCTGTAGTCCCAGCTACCCAGGAAGGCAGAGGTGGCAGTGAGCAGAGAATGTAGAGATCACACCACTCACACCACTGCACTCCAACCTGGGTGACAAGAGTGAGACCCCCATCTTACCAAAAAAAAAAAAAATTATTAATTACACACTTACTTGAACATAATTGATAAAGTCTTCCTTGAAAAGGGTTCTTCGCTGGATTCTGTACTCTAGATCGGAAGCCTTCTTAATGATAGCCCTGAGGAGAAAGCCATTTAAGCTTCACTTGAAAACAGTAAAACTTAAATAAGTTTGAGTTTATTTTTAATATATTTACAACACACTATTCAAAACACAAAATTTCTAGAGTTATGTTTCATAAGAAAGTATTCTTTTACACCATTACTTTTGTGTTCTTAACGGTATCTGGATTTTTTTTTTTTTTTGAAACGGAGTCTTGCTCTGTTGCCTGGCTGGAGTGAAGTGGCAGGATCTTGGCTCACTGTAACCTCCGCCACACAGGTTCAAGCAATTCTCCTGCCTCAGCGTTCTGAGTAGCTGGGACTACATGCCCACACCCCACACCCGGCTAATTTTTTTGTATTTAGTAAAGATGGGGTTTCACCATGTTGACCAGGATGGTCTTGATCTCCTGACCTCATGATCCTTCCTTCTCAGCCTCCCAAACTGCTGGGATTACAGGCATGAGCCACCTCGCCCGGCCCAGTATCAGGATGCATTTTTAAACTTTCAGGAAAATCATCTTAATCAACTCCCAAAACCAGTGACATTCCCACCAGCAAACCAAATACAATTAAGAACTTGGTACTATTTATTTACGTATGGTATTAATAAAGACTTCTTTTACTCCAAGTTCAGGTCACTTAGGTTTTAATAACAAATCTCTCAATTCTAAAAGAAAAAAAAAAATCTCTTTCCTAAATTCTCGTTTTCTGAGTTCTCAACATGTAAAATTTTTTTTAATAATCTGAATTATCTCTGCCTTAAAAGGCTTATTACTGCAAAGGACTTAGGGAGAAGATTCCGCATCCTTAGCTAAGGAGTGAACACATGACATGGGTATATTAGGAGATTTTAATGCAAGATGTGTAAAAGTGTCTTTAGTAACAATAACATTTACTGAGTGCTTTCTAAGGGTCCACACTGCTATGTTCTGCTTCATTAACGAATGCTTACGTTGAGGCTCTGAGTCACATTACTAGATTCACAGATGGTGCAAAACAAAGCAACAGTCACAGAAGGCCATTTAAAAACTATTTAACATAATTTTACCGGCCTACTGAATGCCTACTCTGTGCCAGGCGCTGTGGTTAGGCTCTGGGGTAGCATATGAAACTAACTTCAAGGGTCCTCACCTTCAACTGTAGTTAGGAAAATTTATCCACTCCCCCTGGGCTCCCACAGCACTTTATTCCCATCCCTAGAGTAGTACACGCTACTCCAGTCAACTTACAGTACCCTGTCATCAAAATATTTGTCTGTCTCCCTCACCACACACTGCCCAATTAGCTCCTAATGAGCAGGAATCCTGAGTTTATCACATTTACAGCCCCAAGACCCGGCTCCATGAAGGGCTGTCAGTATGTCTGATGGGTAAGTAGACGGACGTATAGCCTTGCGACGGATGAGAAATTAATTCTGGACATCATCGAAACCAGGAAATGGGCTTCCACCACGTTAGGAAAAATAAACACAGGTCGAGCATCCCCACACCTGGCCCCTGCCACACACTCCCAACCTCCCCTCAGCCCGCCTCGCCTCAGCTCTTCCCCTCTCCCCAGCCCTTTCTCACTTAATCTCCGCATGACTGAACAGTCCAATGCGCTCCAGCTGTTCCAATTCCGGGAGCCGATCTTCTATGCGTTCCTGAATTATCTCTGCCATGAGGTCCGAACTCTACAACCCGGTGGAGAGATTCTCGACAGCGAACACCCACAGGAAGCGCCCAGTCCGGAGATGCAGCCGTACCCCGCGCGCCCGACGTAATGTGCTCCCTAGGTCCCGCCTTTTCCGCTTCCGCCGCCTCCGCCGCGGGGGAAGGCCCTTTGGCTTCTACAGCGCAGTTCCCCCCCTGTGGCCGATTGCGGGATTGCAACGAGAACCCCTCCTGGTCTTGGGCTGGTCGAGACTTAAGCGTACTGAATTTGAGAGCCGGGGCTAGACGCGGGGCGGGGCTACGTGCGCTCGGGCCGCTAGAATTGGACCGCTAACAGGAAAAGCGACTCCGGGTATGGTGAGACCGGCTACCTGGGCCTGAAAGGGGCTGAGATGCATTTTCTGCAGAATATTGTCTACTTTCATTGTGCTTCCAATCCCACGTCCTCACTTCCCAACACCAAGAACAAAAAAAAAAAAAAAGCGAAGAAGGAGGATACTGTACAATTAAACAATTTTGAAGGCCAGGCGCGGTGGCTCACGCTTGTAATCCCAGCACTTTGGGAAACCGAGGCTGACAGATCGCCTAAGGTCGGGAGTTCGAGACCAGCCTAGCTAAAAAGCGAAACCGTCTCTACTAAAATTACAAAAATTACCTGGGCGTGGTAGCACGCGCCTGTAGTCCCTGCTACTCAGAAGGCTGAGCCAGGAGAATCACTTGAACACGTGAGGTGGAAGTTGCAGTGAGCTCAGATGGCGCCACTGCACTCCAGCCTAGGCGACAGAGCGAGACAGCGTCTCAAAAAAAAAAAAAATTGTGTTTTGAAAGTCAGTCAAGAAACTCATAGAGGGCCCAGGCACGGTGGATAACACCTGTAATCCCAGCACTTTTGAGAGGACAAGGCAGGTGGAGTACCTAAGGTCAGGAGTTCGAGAACAGCCTGGCCAACATGGTGAAACCCTCCCTCTACTAAAAATAAAAAAATTAGCGGGGCATAGTGGTGTGTTCCTGTAGTCCCAACTACTTGGGAGGCTGAGGCAGGAGAATCACTTAAACCCAGAAGGCAGAGGCAGCAGTGAACAAAAATGCGCCACTGCTCTCCAGCCTGGGCAACAAGAGCACAACTCTGTCTCAAAAACAAAGATAGGCCGGGCGCGGTGGCTCAAGCCTGTAATCCCAGCACTTTGGGAGGCCGAGGCGGGTGGATCACGAGGTCAAGAGATCAAGACCATCCTGGTCAACAGGGTGAAACCCCGTCTCTACTAAAAATACAAAAAATTAGCTGGGCATGGTGGCGCGTGCCTGTAGTCCCAGCTACTCAGGAGGCTGAGGCAGGAGAATTGCCTGAACCCAGGAGGGGGAGGTTGCCGTGAGCCGAGATCGCGCCATTGCACTCCAGCCTGGGTAACAAGAGTGAAACTCCGTCTGAAGAAAAAAAAAAAAACAAAGATAGAGGCACTAAGACAGACCAGGCTACCCAAAACAGTCTTTGCTTTTCATTACATTTAGTAAGCCAGTATCACAACACTGGATTTTCACCTGCCGATTAGCATCTCTGATTAGCTGAATAATTTTAAAATAGAATTATTATTTGAATAAATATCCTGGCTTTTTTTTAAAACATAACGCATTTTATTACATACAAGTACAATAAGTTAAATGATATACTACAAATTAACTTTAATTTTAACTAAGATTAAAAATAACTTTTTCCTACTGTAATGCAGAAGAATATCACTCTGAACGCCTACCTCATGGATCCCTCAATACTGTAAGTTAAACACAAACAGCCTCTCCACTCAGGTTTTTATCATGCATCTTACAATAATGTCCTTACTATTTCATAGAATGTATCATGAATAATGCCCACCTAACAGAAATGATTTCTTATCTTTGATGCAGGAACAATTAATTGATCACATGCTTTCACATGTGAATACAATAGGAATGAAGAGCATTAAGCAATTTGAGAGCTGAATTACATATTTGCTTTTCAAGGGCTCAATTTTTTCAAGAAAAAAATATAATTTGAAGGTAATTATAAATCTACAAAAAATTTTCTACTTCTTTTAAGGTTATATACAATTTACCTACCAACTTTAGTTTTAAATTATTTTCTATACTCGGCATTCTGTTTAAGTGCAGTGTCTGAAGTGTCAGTGCCTTAGATGAATATCCTGGCTTTGTAAGCAAGAGCTTTCAAAATTTATGTCCCTAGGTGAATATCAGACACTATAATTTCGTTTTAGAAAAGGAGATTTTTGTAGTAAAAAGTTTGGGAATTATGAAAATAAATCACTAAGGTATAGACACCCTCCTTAAACCATTGCAACTTAGCATTTCTAAGAGAACCACCAGGCAACCCAGCTTGGAGGTAATATTGCTGGTATAGTTACTAAACCTCAAATGATAACTACATGGTTCAGTTCTATTTTATTTCTGGATGATGACATAAAGCCAAAGCAGCAGTTCTTGCTAGACCTGTTTTTTTGTTTTTTTTTTTTTTAAACAGAGTCTCACTGGAGGCCGAGGCAGATGGATCATCTGAGGTCGGGAGTTCAAGACCAGCCTGACCAATATGGTGAAACCCCATCTTTATAAAAAATAAAAAAGAAACAGAGTCTCACTCTGTTGCCAGGCTGGAGTGCAGTGGCACGATCTCAGCTGACTGCAACCTCCGCCACCCGGGTTCAAGCGATTCTCCTGCCTCAGCCTCCTGAGTAGCTAGGACTACAGGTGCCCACCGCCACATCCGGCTAATTGTTTGTATTTTAATAGAGAAGGGGTTTCACCATGTTGGCCAGGATGGTCTCGATCTCCTGACCTCGTGATCTACCCACCTCAGCCTTCCAAAGTCCTGGGATTACAGGCATAAGCCACCGCACCCGGCCTAGACCTGTTTATTTCAACATTCACATTAGCTCCTTAATAATGTGTGTCATGTATGAAAGGAGAATGAGCTCAGCAATTAACCATGTTCCACCTCTGTGCCTTTCGTTTCTTTCTTTCCTTTCACATTTTACCCCTCTCCTCTCAGAACTGAGACAAAGGTTGGCTTGGGCTTCATTTCTTGAATTCTTCAGCTGTAAGACTTGAAAGAAGTGGAAGGAAATCATGAATGTAAAACAAGGATAGAATTTAATTGTAAAAGTTAAATCTCTGGGGCTGTGTTAACAGTAAGAGTGGAGAGTAAGAGTTACTAAATAGTAAACTCCATATGGGCAGAGAATTTTTTCCCATTTAGTTCACTAGATAGCTTATACCAGTGCCTACCATATGATAAGTGCTCAATAAATGCATGACACTAGGAAAAGGCACTTGCTAACTTTCTTTCTTTTTTTTTTTAATTTTTCTCCAAATTCCTGGTTTAATAAGGACTCGTTTGTTTTGAGGAAAAAGGGTCCCAAACATCAGGCTGTTCACAAAAATAACCCACAGTATCAACTTTAGAAAACAAATCTTATGGGCCGGGCGCGGTGGCTCAAGCCTGTAATCCCAGCACTTTGGGAGGCCGAGGCGGGTGGATCACGAGGTCAAGACATCGAGACCATCCTGGTCAACATGGTGAAACCCCGTCTCTA